ACTCTGTGCTCTGGTGAAGATGCCGGCCACAGAGACTGGTGAAACGTTAGTAAGAACAACCTTCAGAACACGGCCAAAGAGCCCGAAAAACCCACAACAACCACAAGACATACTCTTTGGTCCTTCCTCTGCCCTGCACAATTGTTTCTACTCTAGATACTTCAGTGTACCAAAAAAGGACGAAGGACTCTGTCCCATCCTCGACCTTAGAAACCTCAATAAATTCATTCGACCTAAACGTTTCAGAATGCTGACACTCGACACTGTCATTCCTGTCCTTTCACAGGGAGACTGGTTTGTTGTCATCAATCTCCAAGATGCGTATTTTCTCATCTCTATCCATCCGAGTCACCACAAATTTCTTCTATTCTGATTCGACGGCATCTTGTACCAGTTCTGTTCTCTTCTGTTTGGACTCTCCACGGCACCGAGGACCTTCACCAGGTGTATAGCACCAGTTGCTGCCTACCTCTGCCTTCAGGGTATCACTATATTCCCTTATATAGAAGACTGGCTGATAGTCTACACTTTCTACCATGATGCCGTCAGAGCTACCCAAATTACTCTTGACCCTCTTCAAGACCTTGGTCTCAAGGTGAACCATGTCAAATCTCATCTCGAACCATCACAGACAGCCACCTATATAGGGGCATACTTCAATTCCCTACAAGCCAGAATCTTTCTCCCTTACGAGAGAATTATCAAACTCACATGGGCTGTACAACCGTTCCGACCTCATGCTTCAGTATCAGCTCATCAAGCCCAACACCTCTTCAGGCTCATGGCTTCCACTACCGCCGTTATCCAGCATGCCAGGCCAAAGAAGAGGTCTCTTTAGTCATGGTACCTCTCCCTAGTCGACCCCATGACACATCACCCATCCAGATGCCTCAGGGTCACATGTGAACTAGCCCAACAACTTACATGGTGGACAATTCTCCCACATCTTTTTGTTGGAAGACCCATCTCCCCTCTCCAGCTTACGGTTCAGGTTACCACGGATGCCAGGTTGTTGAGATGGGATGCCCAGTGTCAGCATCACAGGATCCATGGACTCTGGACAAAACAAGAGCAGTCATTACACATCAACCACCTAGCGCTCTTAGCTATTATCAAAGCTTTCCACGCCTTCCTACCTATCACTGCAGGATGCCCAGTCCAACTTGCTACAGACAATACAACAGCTCTTTATTATGTCAACAAGCAGGGCGGTACAGATTCCCTTTCCTTACTGAACCTAGCTGTTGAGCTCTGGGAATGATGCTACCTTCACCACATCTTCCCAGTAGCAGTCCATATTGCTACGGACGATACTCTAGTTGCAGACCATCTCAGTCACCTTACCACGAGGACACACGAGTTGTCTCTAGACGATAAAGTCTTCGCCCTTCTTTGCCATCGATAGGGGACTCCTTACGTTGATGTCTTTTCTACCAAGAACAATACCAAGTGCCAACTGTATTGTTCCTGCACCAGTACCAGCAGAGGTTCTCTCGGAGACGCCTTCATGATAAGATGGGACAGCGGACTCCTCTACTTATTGCCGCCCATCCCACTGATACAACGCACCATCATTTGGCTTCAAATTGGATGTAATCTTTCTCGCCCCATGGTGGCCACGACAACCATGGTTCACCCACTTGAGGTCGATGTCGAGCGACTTCCTCCATCTTCTGTCAGTCCCCAACCTCCTCACGTGGGACAATGGACTCATTTACCATCCTGATCTTGAATCTCTGAAACTGATGGCGTGGAGTATTCTCCCGCAATAAGGGATATAGTTGACAGGGCTTGAAAACCATCAACAAAGATCCTTTACCGACATAAATGGAGAGCATTCCTCTCCTTTGTCAATTCTAAAAACTTACCTGTGGTACCAGTTTCACTAAAGACTCTACTTACCTTTATACTCCATCTTTTTCATCTTGAATTGGCCCGTTCTACTTTGAAAGTTTATACTGGTGTTGGTGTGGTGGTCGCGCACCAACCATCTCATTTGGAAGCAGCTAAACTTTTCTCCCATCTGACTTTTAAAAAATTCCTTAAAGGACTTCACGGTATCTGTCCTCCACACCAACCTCCTCTTCCTCAATGGTCATTACAACTTGTCCTTAATGCATTGATCCGACAAATGAGAAGGACTTCGCGGTATCCGTCCTCCACACCAACCTCCTCTTCCTCAGTGGTCGTTACAACTTGTCCTTAATGCATTGATCCGACCTCTGAACCGATGGCTACTATTAACCTCAAACTGCTTTCCTTGAAAACATCATTCTTAGTAGCGATAGTGTTGACTAAATGTGCTAGTGAACTAGCAGCTCTTAGATCTGATCCACCAGGACTTCGCGGTATCCGTCCTCCACACCAACCTCCTCTTCCTCAGTGGTCGTTACAACTTGTCCTTAATGCATTGATCCGACCTCTGAACCGATGGCTACTATTAACCTCAAACTGCTTTCCTTGAAAACATCATTCTTAGTAGCGATAGTGTTGACTAAATGTGCTAGTGAACTAGCAGCTCTTAGATCTGATCCACCTTTTCTGCAGTTCCATCTGGACAAGGTTACTCTATACCCAGATGTTTCATTCTTACCTAAGGTTGTGTCTGATTTTCATCTCAATCAACCTATAATACTGCCTACCCTTTTTTCATCTCCCCTCTACACCTCTTGAGCACATGCTCCACATGCTTGATGTTAGATTTTCCTTGGCTTTTTACATAGACAGAACCAAATTGTTTAGGAAAGCATCAAGGCTCTTCCTATGTTTTCATGACCCTAATAAAGCTTCACCAGCTTTGCCTCAAACATTGGCTAGGTGGATTGTTCATACAGTTTCACTGGTATATGAATTGGCAGGCAAAACACCACCTGAATCCACTCGACTAGTGCACTGTCTGTCTCCACTCCCTTCCAACGAGGAATAGAAGTCCCTCACATTTGCCACGCAGCTATATGGTCAAATTCATCAATATTTGTGACACATTACTGTTTGGATGTCTGGTTGCCATGCAGCTATATGGTCAAATCCATCAATGTTTGTGACACATTACTGTTTGGATGTCTGGGAAAAGAAGGATGCTGCTTTCGGCAGAGCTGTCTTGACTTCCTTTCTACCATGACGTCCCACCATCTAGTAAGTGAGCTTGTCAGTCACCCAATTGTGTGCATTCACAGAGGCCATGAAGAAGAAAGAGAGGTTACTTACCTGTAACCATGGTTCTTCTACTGGCCCGCTGT